CTATCTCTTGATTTTCATCCTGATTCTCTCCTCTATATGACTCGATCTCCGCCTGCATGGCTTCAATCTTCTTCTTGGCCCACTCCTCATAAGGCTCCGGAGCCGGATGGTTTGATTCCTGCGCCTCAATGGCAAGATAAATGTACTTATAGGCAAGCTCCCAGACGGTATATTCCGTGTCCGGATGTACTAGAGACCAAGCCATTTTCATTCTGTTGACGCAGTCTTGCTCATTATCTTCAATGAACCGGCTCTGTTCAGCTTCCAGCGTGGTTTGGAAGTTCTGACTGGCAGCAGCCGCCTCCTTCTTCAGGCGGACGTTGTCAAACAGGAGCGAAGAATTCTCCTTCTTGGTTAGTTCCAGAAGCTTGATAGAATCTGACGCCTTCTTTGCCTCTGCCTCAGCATTCTCCTTCTCCGCCTGGAGTTGCGGAGCTTTATGTTGGCTTCATTGAGAGACTTCTGGAGCGCTTTGATGGAGTCCGCTTGTTGCATGATTATGCCTTTAGTTTTCAATTCATGCATGATCATGGAATATTTGGCAATGTTATGAGCATTGGACGCAACCTGTTTAGCCCGTCTTACCTCCTCACACTTACAGGCATAGGCTTTCTTGAGCCCCTCCACGAGTAGCATTGACTGCAAAAGTCCAAGCGGTGTTAAGAGAGGTCAGTCGATATAAAAAGATAATAAATATTCAGTTGAGAAACATCATACATCAGCCAAGTCGGCCATGACCCGGTCGACATTGAAGGTGTTGATCCCTGGGATCGCCTCCTTTTCCTCTCTAGGGACGGCCTTCAGCATGGCCCGGGCGTACTGCTGTACATCCGGCCAGCGAGGGGAGAGATCTGCACCAGAAAAAGATGGTGAGAAGGCTACATACTTCCATCCTATTGACTGCCAGCAGCCAGAAGTGTCTTCTGGCTGGAGTTGGGAGTGCGACTTGACCCGCATGGGCTTGCCAAGCAAAGAAGGGTTGAAGGGATCATTTGTACCTTGGGATATTGGCTGAGGGTCATGACTGCCCTTAACTGGTAAAGAGGCGCCGGATGACCTAAGCGGTGTAGTCTCCTTGGATGCCTCTGGGACATCCGGCTGCCTGGCAGATAGGTCGAATCCCAGACCAAGGTTTTTGACATATTTACCCCCAACCGTCAGCCGGTTGGGAACTGTCTGGGAGGAAGTCTTCCTCGCCGTATTTTGGGTAGCCGGCTCCTCCCCAGGCCGAGGCCTTATCAACTTTAGAGGGAGCGGGGCACCTTGCTCCCATCCTGAAATAACATACAAAAAGGTCAGCCGGCACGAAGTCAAATGGAAGTTGAAGGAAAAAGAAAGGAAAAGCAGCATACCTTATTTTTTGCCGCCTGGGCGGCAAGTTTCTTCTCCGCATTTTCTTTGCGGATTTCTTTGGCAGATTTAGCCGGTGTTTTTTCTGCTGACAACATGGCTAAGGCTCACACTGCAAAAAAGAACCCATCTGGTTAGAAGAGTTGAGAAAGCATATCATGTACAAACGGCAAAACGAGATCAAGCACTAGTGCAACCTACGTTTTTCAAACTGAGTGCTAAGTTTACAGGCGGACATGAATGCCTCATCACGAAGGAATTCGTGCTTTGGTACCCAATTCTTGGGTACGCTTATTAACTCTCCATTAGAAAGGGTGGTTGTGGTTTGTTCAAAAAACCCCGCCTCAATTATCCTCTCGTAGTCCTCATCCGGGACTCGAGGCTTTTTACATTTGTGACCCAGGAGGTCTGGCTTCTGGTTGTATGTCCTATACTCCCGATTTTCTTCCTTGGTGGGAGCCGAAACCAGATAAAACCAGTTCTTCCAGTCTGACCACTTGGACGGCTTGTCCAGGGTAATCAGATACTGAGGGTATGTGGTCAGTGTATACCAGGCTCTCCACCCACCTGGGCTCCGACTCAAATAATGCATATGGGCAAAGGCCTCCCAGCCGGGGTTAATGTTCTGCATTTCGCAGGCGACAATGTAGCCCGAAATGTTAACCCAGGAATTGGGGGTTAACTACCAAATACCCAGACCATACCCTCTAAGAATGGCCTTGATGGTGTTGTGCAAAGGGAAGCGAAGACCGGCTAGGAACGCCGCCTCATAACAGTCGAAATACCCGTCGGAATTCGGCTGATCGTCTTCCCAGACTATAGTGCCCATCTCAGGCGACACGATTATTCTCCGATCTTCTCCAAGAGGATGTATTTTGACAAAGTCCTCTAAGTTTCTGGCCATTCTGGCCCTATCTTTTGCAGAGACGGCAATAAGGAAATTAAAGGATCGCCCTTATTGTTCCATGTGGGCCTCTCCTCCTCGCTATCCGCATCCGGTGTAAGAAGGCTGCTACTACTGCCGCTTTGCTCTGAACCGGATGAGGAGGCGATCTCTTCACCGCTCGCGTTCTCTGAAGGGTTTTCCTGTTCAACCCTGGATGGAGAGGCGGCATCTTCACCGCCTTTCTAACCCAACCCCAGTATTCCATCACTGGGAGTGCTTGGGGTGCCATGCGGAGATCCCCTTGTCATCTCAGCCTGATTAGAGTCAGGCGGCAATTCTTTAGAGGTTTCCCCTCTGTACTCTAGATCAACGACTGTTTTCCTAGTTTGAGCCATTGCGTCCTGCACAGAGACAGAGACGGTCGATTTTGGAGATGAACAAGGAGAGTCCCAGTACCCAAAGGCGGCACCCCCATTCCTAGACTCAGCTGTACCAGGAGACCGGCTGACCTATAAATCGTGGTGTGCCATGTGTATGTTGGGTGAGCCCATTATTCTAACAATATATACAGCTGGGAAAATTTAAAAACCTCTAAAAAAGCAAGGAACAGAGGCGTTACCTTCTAGTTGATAGAAGAAGTTGGAGATTGTTGACCAAAGATACCCTAGACGGTATCACTTTGAATAGACTGCAAATTGGCAAAAGAAAGCAAGGTTAATTACCAATGTCACCATGCGGGAGGGGCAAATGATTGGGGTAAAATTACCCCTGCCACGTGGCCCAATGAGGGCCTGACACGTGTCACCCTCATACAGGCCCCAAGGGATCCAATCAGAGGATGCCACGTGGCATTGAACCCCCAATGGGGGAGTAGATTCTCATCTGCTATAAATAGAGGAATCATCCTCATTTATTGGTATTCATAAATACATACACAAATCCCGAGCAATATTAATTGCGGAATCTCCCTGAATCAGAGATAAACACCCATTTTACTTTTCGCACGCTTACCCATCCGGAATCATACTAACTTGATCTTCGGAGGCGGAACTCCACCCAACCAGAGTTTCGTGGTTTTGCAGGTACAGAAGTCAGGCGCTCATACCCAGTATTGTAACTCTCCTGAGGGACTAAAATACCCGAAACACACACTGTAACCAGCGGGTACATGTAGTAAGTATACAGTAACGAACCTTGCCTTTATCTTGCCGTTAACAATTTTGTTAGTGGGACCCACTTTCCATTTATTAATATTTTTTATCGATTTGCGTGTTGGTAAATGTTCCGTTTAAGGTTTTGTGGACTATTTTGGCTCTTAAGGGTCCAAATTGAGCTCAGATTTGACAATAAAATAACGTAAATGCCTCGTTTTACATATTAAAAATGTAAACACGCAAGTCGAGACATTTTTAATACGCAACACGATGCATTTATGTTATTTTTTTTTTTTGCCAAATCTGAACTCAATTTGGTCCCTTAAGGACCAAAATAGCACCCAAGACCTTTAATAGAACATTTTCCAACACGCAAATCGATAAAAATATATTAAAAAATAAAAAGTGAAATCCACTAACGAAATTTGTTTACGGCGGGATAACGACAAGTTTATAGTATAGTAACTAAATGTACCTGTGGGTTACAGCAGAGAAAGTGATATATGGAGGGGAACAATGTAGAATAGTGAAATAAGGAGGGTAATTACGTAGAAAAACCCTTATTATTATTATTATTATTATTATTATTATTATTATTATTATTATTATTATTTATTTATTTATTTATTTTTAAGAAGAGCAGAGTAGATTTCAACAGAGCAGCTCAAAAGAACAGGGCTACAATATCTGAAAATCCGATCCGTATTCGATTTGAAATCAATTTCGGATTGGATATTCGATCCGAAAAAATCGGATATCCAATTCGATATCCGAAAAAAATACCCAACCAGCAAACCTTAAATACCCCGAAGGCCCAAATACCCCCAATGACCCAAACCAACAAACCCTAAATCAAAACCCTTGAATCCCATTGCCCCTCTATCTCTCTCCTCTCAAATCTCTTTCTGTAATTCATCCTCACCGCCCCTCTCTCTCTCTTCTCTTTCACCATCCTCTTAGATCTCACTCATCTCAGTAAGGACTGCAGCCCCACCACCCCTCTTTATCTCTTCTCTCTATCTTCTCCTTCAATCTCTGCAACCCACCGCACCACCAGCTTCCCATCTCGCTCTCCTTCGATCCTCACGGCTGCTTTACTAGCAACCCTCCTCCAACCATAGTCATCAACAACCGCAATAACAACCGCCACCGTTCGGGTCATTGCTCCCTCGAGCTTCCAACCCGCAATACCGACGACGACCCTCTTCTCAACTTCATTTCAATGACAATTAATATTTCTTTGTTTTGTATTTAGATTTGTGTAAAAAAATTTTGTTTTGTAATTGGTTTGTGTATAGTTTCTTTGTTTTGTAATTTGTGAAAATTATTTGTTGCATTTTTAAATTTCTAGTCTATTTGATCTTTTTCTTGTTATTCTGGTTGTTCAAGTAGTTACAATGTTTTTTTTTTTTTTTTTTTTTTGGAGAACAGTTGCAATGAATTATTTATTTTTAGAGAATTGATGCAAAATTAATTTAATTTACCATTAAATAATTTTTTTATTACCATTAAATTATTATTTATATAATATAATATTATTAAAAGGGTCCGATATTGGATATTAAGTTATCGGATCCGAATTTTTGGATATCCGAAAATTTTCGAATCGGATACGGATAGGCAATATAGGAATTTTGGGATACGGATATCCGAATCGACACTCAGTTTCGGATCGGATATCCGATCTGTGTTCACCCCTAAGAAGAAGATCGAGTTTAGGAGGAAAAATTTCCTCCAATAAAAATTCTAATTTAGTACTTTTTCCGTTTTATTATAATCGCAACACTAAGGCTCTGTTCTTTTGAGCTTCTGGGCAGAGTAGAGTAGAGCAGGGATTAACAAAGTAGAGTAGATTTTAGGAGAGTATAGCAGATTTCAACAGGGCAGGGCAGGGCTTCCACACATTACAGAGCAGAGCAGCTCATAAGAACAAGACCTAAGTGTTGCACAAAGTTTTAGGAAAATTATAATGTGGGGACCTAAAGGGAAATTTCATAATATTCGTATAAAGTATAAATAGTGGAGGTATATTAGAAATAATAAAAAAAAATAGTATAAATGGAGTTGGTATGAGAGAAAAATAATAAAATAGTAATGAATTCTTATAGAAGTGTTGCAATTATTATGAAACGAATGTAAAAGAAAAATAGAAAAATATTACGATTATTACGAATTGGTAGTATGCCTAAGCTTTGTTTAAAACAAAAAAAAAAAAAAAAAAAAAAAAAAAAAAAAAAAAAAAAAAAAAAAAACCTCAAACTCGACAACTCAAATATCTGCGGCCCAGCATAGCGTGCACCCTAATTTGGGCTGCTCAAGACTTCCAAGTTCCAATATAAAATCCCTCCTCAAGTTGTTCTCAATCACCACAAACTCAGAAACCCTAATTTCTTCTTCAACTTATCCTTCATTCATCTTACCCTTTCTCAATCTCTTTCGATTTTCATATTCTGAGCCTGAATATGATGATATTTCATGTCGCCCCAGTCTTACAAGCATCTCAATTAGATGCTTTAATATGGTGATTGACCATTTGAATCTGATTCTTGCTTTTTCTTATGCAATTCAAACATTTTATTTTTCGATTTATTTTTCAGAATTGCAAGGAGATGTGAGGATATACTTTACCCAATATATTTTTCTGAATTCAAATTGATGAATTCTTTTTACATGCACTACCATCTGATCTCTCTTGCGTTTTTCAACCAATTTAATTTTTTTTTTTAATTTCAAAATAAATTTATTTGTGTAATCAATGATGAAATTTTATCTAATACCTAATTCTCTTGCGATTATTATTCAATAAAATGAGCGGAATCAATGATTTGAGATTACACAAAAAATATGATTTGCAAACAATTTTATTTTTATTAAATCAAATGCAGTCAATGATGAAAAATTATCCGAAATATTCCTGAGTTAATTTCAGTGATTAATCGTATAAATATTCACCATCTTTCGGCTGAGATTGCACAAATTAATTAATTAATTTTAATTTTTATTATATTGCCCAAGGTATCTAGTGCTTAACTTCCTTGTAGTTGGGTGCTTCGTTTTGTTGGGCAAAAATTGTGAACAGATATTGCGACACAGATTGCTTCATAATTTCACGGGCTTTCTGTTACTTATTTCTCTGTTTACATTTCGTTTTGTCGACTTAAGTCTTTACTTTGTACTTGTTCGGGATTAATTGTTGCGTTGATAGTGTAATTTGAATTGGTAATGTCACAATTAAATCGTGACGAGTAGTGACAAGGGTCTGAAGTTTGACTCTTTGGCTATATTGAAGTGCCTTAGGGATGAATGCAGCACCCGGTAATAAACCCATGCTTGTATTTGAATTCTGCTTATTATGAGTAAGCAGAGGTTATGAGTTTGGAACATTTTGGATGTTGATTGAACTAATTTATCTTATTTGTGTACTTGTAACAGTTGGAAGTGACTTGCTTCACTGGGCACATTGATGTAGTATGACTCCACTCGAACTAGTCCGGACCTGATTAGACTGGATCAAACCAGATATAGTCACTCCCATTAGATTAGATTAAATCAATCTAGATTTAGTCACTTTGATCCGATTAGGCTGGATCAAACCAGATTTAGCAACTTGAATTGACACTTCTATGTATAATTTGACTAATAATCCAAGGGTTCTTTAATTATGGACATAATCCTAATATCTGTATTTTGATTAAGTAAATGTGATTAACTTTGACATTTAGGGCTTCTGCTAAATACTAATTTTAATTCAAAACCAAAATAAGGTTTTGAGAAACTCATGCTATACTGTATCAATTATCAAAAATATCAATCAATAACCGAATTTATGATACTCCACCAAATACTAATTTTGTAAATTTGAGTTTTTAAAAACCTGGAGAGAAGGAAAGGACAGCAGTAGGATAATTTTTCTTCTAAAATTCTATGACTTCAGTAATTTAAAAAGTATACAGATTCATAATACCATGATTAAGGACATTAATCAACCAGTTATGTGACTCTTTGGCTGATTAAGGACATAACTAACCAGTTATTTGACTCTTTTGCAAATGCAGAAACAACCAAAAGTTGAATGTTGCAAAATCAGCCGAAAGTTTCAAAATTGACAATGGAATTTGTTGACCGAAAGTTAAATGCATTCTGTTATCGAAAACAAACTCTTGATACCACTCCAAGGGGTTGAAAAGCATATCTGCTTCCTAGGAGTTCGAGAATATGTTTTAACGACTATCAACCTTGCACCAAATGTGTTGTAAAATAAGGTGTATTTCAAGAATACAACAAGAAGTAAACAAGAACAAAAGCAAAGAGGAAATTCGGTGTGGCGTGAAGAATCACTGCCTTTGAAAACGAATTCCGGCGCAACCAGGGTGCACAATTATAATCGTCGGATCGTTCTCTAAGGTTACACACCACTCTCACATTAAGACACTTTAGAGTGAGAGGTGGAGTCTATGAAAACTTATGCCCAAAGAGAGAATGTGTTTAGCTTGTATTTTTTCAAGTGTGTTTCAAGTCACATTTTAGAAAAAATCATCCTTCAATTCAATTTATATTGAAGGATGGAGGAAGATGGAAGATCATAGAGTCAATAAAATCAGAAAAAACATGGTGAGTTAATCACCATAAAAACCTTTTAAGTAGGGGGTTACAAGAAATCAAACCAAAGAAGAATCCAAGGAAACTGTTGATGTCCAACGTCCTCTCGCGCCCAATCGGGCGGATCTCGCCTAGTAGGGCGACGGAACTCCAGATTTCACGATTGCTCTCGCGCCCGGTCGGACGCCCGGATCAAACTACCTTGAATTTCCTTTCTTTATTCCAACAATCCCCCACTAAAGGAAGGGAAGATAAGCCAACAAAATATGAGAATGAGCAACATATTGGGCATAAGAGGAGTTTAATATGTAACACTTAGATATTACATAAGTAATTTGAAATCTATGTGCTTAGTGAAATGAGGCAATGAGCTACAAGTAAAAGGGTGGATAGAACCTTGAAACCCTTAGACTCTTGATCATGGAGTGGACTAACCTTGAAACTCCAAGATTTAACTCAAGATCCCCACAACACATACATCACTCCAAAATTTACATAGACTCCACAAAGAGATATGCTCTTTTATAGCCAAACATATTCACCTTAGGTCTAGTGGAGGCTCTAGAAAATCCACCCAAATTTTCCATAGAAGATGGCTAGTCTTCACAACCACATAGGTGAATCACAAACACTTCTCAAAGCACTTAGTCAATGGGGTTAAAGTATGTTCATAAGAACTTAACAAATACTACATTGTAGCAATTAACCCCCACAAGACCATGGATTCATTAAGAGCTTAATGCTCAACCTCACAATAATCATCAACAACGGTGACTCCAAAGTTTTAGTGCGTCACTCAAACATTTCGATTCATTAAGAGTCAAAGGACTCAATCTCAAGCGGTGGATCAATCAAGTGCGTTTCAAATAGCACTAACCTAAATGGTTTATTGTTCCATTAAGAACTCAAAGGAGCTCAACCTCAATCAAGCATTACAACACATGCCATAGGGATAGGAAAGTAATGCTTTTAATCTTTCCACATGGGCTTAAGGCCTATCCCCATCAACATTTTTCACAGATTATCAAGGATTGTTACATGTCCCAAATTTCCTTACCATAGTGCACAATTATTTTTGCTAGAATACTTTTCCAATAAGGAAAACTAGCATGTTATCAACATCAACTTAATTTGCACAAATGGTTTAGAGTAATTTGTCACATTTACCATTAAGTGAACAAAGTAACAAGACAACCCAAACCTTGAAATTCCAAACATTTATTCGATCAAGTCCAATCCGTGAAAATAACATAGTCGTCGCATTAGTGAACATACTTCATCGACCACCGATCTCCAACACTTGCCTTTCCAGAAATTTTGAACAACCTTTCCTGGAAGCTAGTGTATTTACAACCTTTGTACCTAAAAAGATACTTAGTAAAAGATGAAGAAAAATTAAACAACGTTAATCATCCACTAATAAAATTTGTAAAATATTGCACTATAATCATTTCACATATGTATGCTATATATGTTAAAATAAATTGCAGTGCATGGTCATTATTTACCACATTGCTAAACGTACTAGCATACTCCACTCAAGACGTACTTTAAGACCTCTTTAAAGCACACATGATTCATGCTAATACAAAACATATTCCAGTCAAATGATGACATGAACAACAAATATCATATCATTGCAAAAAGTTTCCAATCACGAAACATGTATGACACTTTGGAAAAACCAAAAAATCATAATAATAATAATAATTATTCGCTCTCAAAATAATATAACACATGTCATATTCAAATTCGTGAAAATTTCTTAACATATTGGAAAGATTAGGAAGTTCAAACAAGTTATTAGCTACAATTACACATGTGATTCTCAACATCACCACATTACTCACATTGTAGAAATAACACAAGAATATATTACCTTGAATCAAGTAGTGAGAAGAAAACTTAGTCATAAGTATTGGATTCTCACAAGGTACTTAACCAAACTCTTGTACCACCTCCTAGGAATAATCTCAAGTCAACTCACACTTGAATTTTCAACTCACATTTCTTATCTTCAACATGGAACTCCCTAACCAACTCATTTAAGTCACCACTTAGAAGCCTTAACAAACTTCAATCACCAAAGGAAAACTTATCATCAAGGACAAGGATTCAAAATAAGTCATCTAAGTAAGACCTACATTGTTCCATTAAGACAAGAAAAACAAAACAACCTTTACTCACAAGTTTAGCCTTGACCACTTCCAACTACACTTAGTGAATTGGCGTTAAAAAACTTTAGAAGAAATATTAGAAGACACACTCCATAAAAAATAGGAGAACTTTAAGCATGTTAAAAAAGATCTAACTTATCCTCAACAGTTTCCTCCAAGATACACAATCACTCACATCATCAATTCTTTAAGTTAAGGAAACACTCTTCAAACATAGAGTTATCAAAATAACAAAACAAGGCAAACAATTAATAGTTTTTGGCATAACTAGTCACTTTCATGCTTTGCATCAAATAATTAATGCCTCTTATTCCTCTTATAATCAACTTGTTTACTCAATAAACAAAATATGTCATATAGATGGGAATATAGCAATAAAGAGACATGAGAATTCCAATATGCATAGCCAATCACTTGTCACTTAAATATGACATAACGCATAGAATTGCTAAAAAAAACGAATTATTATTGTAAAGGATGCCAGATGCCAAATAATGTAGTACATGGAGATAACCCGAAAAACATACAACATTCACATACAAACCAAGACTTTGAGTCCAACACTTATTCTCATATTATACTTTTCCCCCACATTGGACGATAGAAGTATTCAACTAAGTATTGAAATTAGACATGGTAAACTATACTCCTTTCACATGGGACATATAAGAACTAAAATCTTACTACTAAATTCTTTACACTCATAGAATCATAACCCCTACATGCCAAAGTTAAGTCTAAAAACAAAACATAGTTGATTATGGAGGAAAGAATATGCGAATATACCTCCATGGTGCCCCTAAAAATTTACCATAGCGATCAATGATGAACAACCCAATGACCACCACTTGTAGTGATTGTGCATCCACTAAGTATTCTGAGCTTCTTGAAGCACATTTGGATCCATATTCCTTACTTGAATCATACATGTGGAGATTTACTAGACATATCATCAAAAGAAATAAAAATCTTAAGAATTATTATTCCACATATGAAGAAACCAATATTAGTTTCTTCATACAAGTGCCAAAATAAACAAATTTAATCAAGTAAGAACAATCAAGTGCAAAAACATGAAATAATACATCTACTACACTTGAAACATACAACTCTCTTAAGGTGGGCACTGAGGAGTAATCTAAAATTTTGAATTAAAAGAAAAACACTAATAATTCAAAATATTACACCAAAAGGTCAATATAACTTATTAGTTAACACACCAAAACGTCAACAATAGCCACAAAAAGAATTTCATCAGGAGTAAAATAAATATTAGTAGTCATGTTTTAACCAATAAACACAAAAAGAGTTGTATAACACAACTACGGGTTACAATGCAGGAAGTAACAACTATAGCAAAATATTCTCCTATGGAGCAATACATATATAACTCTTCACAAAAAAATCAAACAATTCCCATTCAAGAACTTTCATACCTAAAATTTGATAAAACTTACACAAGTTCAAGACATATGGAAATATGTAAACATTTGAGCATGAACAAAGTTTTCACAAGCATGACATATACATATCAACGTATATATATGCTAAAACTAATAATATTTGATAACATACTCTACGTAACACAATATTCATGGTAAAGTTTATAAAATCTACAGCTTAACAAGTCTTAAAAATTAACCATAAATTATCTATCAACAAAGGCATGTAAATATTAGGTACTCACCATATTGCTAATAGAAATTAATCTAAAACAAAAGCCCTAACATATACTTTCTCAATGAACAAAACAATACCTATGTTAAGAAGAACCAACAAATTTGTAAATAAAATCAATTAACATATTTCTAAGTACTAAGTTCAAACCACAACCATAGAACAAAGACATAGAAATGGTCATGATGACGCTTGACAAGCCGTCGAAGTGGAGTAATTGGAAGAGCAAATTTTACTTAGTCTCCTCCCCCTCCCTTCGCCTGAATCGACTGCTTCGTCGTTATAATACCCAGCCGGCCCTCCTAGGGAAAAAATGCGCCCTTCCCCGCGTGCCGGAGGAGGCCTGGACGCAAATAATGGAGGCAGGGCTATTCTAAAGGACCACCATGCTCTTAGAGGACGGATCCGAAATAATTGTACCCGGAAACTGGGTACCCTATCCGGACTGGCTAAGGGATGTGGCCTTAGCACTATGTTTAGCAGACGTATGTTGACTGATAACCAGCACTTTTTGCCGTCTGTATCGTTCTGGAATAGCATTTGACTTTTGATTCTTTTTGCAGAGAAAGGAATAGAGATGGTGCCTCCTGAGAAGACGCTTGCTAAATCTGCTACTCAGATCCGGAAGGATCAGGTGGAAAAGAAAAGGGCTTAACTGGCGGCTAAAGACGATGGGGTAAGCTCCGATTAAGCTCTTTTTACCGTTTGTATATTTTAGTTGTCAACAAAGTTACTAACCGGTTATGTTCTATTTCAGGCGGGGAGTAAGAATGTTCCTCTCCCTATCTCGAAAATGGTAAAAAGGACGGTTGAGGTGCCTCCTCAACCTCCTTCCAAGACAAGGAGGATTACGGCTGCCCCTATCTCGTCCGGGAGACCGCCTGTAGCTGACAGGCCAACTTCGGCGGGCAAAAGCTTGAAAAATCTTGGTCTCAATACTAAGACGGTCGATCTAGAGGTTAGGGAGGCGAAGACTCCCTTAAGCCGGATGCAAGCTACAACGACCGGTTCTAATGAGGCTGGGGGTGGGTTGACCCCTCAGCCTAAAAACGAAGGTATGGCTTTCACCTTTGACCCCCCTGGCCGCTTGGGCCTATGCGAGTCAAGTCCCAAGCTACCCAATCCGGGAATTCTTCCGGCAGCCGGCAGAATTTAGGTGCCGCCTATGCTCAGTACTTAACAAATAAATCTGTTGATGCAGATGCCTTTTCTCGTTGGCCTGACCTCCAACAATACACAAGGAGGATGCTGAGGACCATCACATGGTCCGAGAAGGAGGCAGTGCCGGGCGTGCACCATGTAAGACCCCAATAATTCTCTTACAGGTCTTACAGGTTATACAGGTCTTACAGGTTATACAAGTTTTACAGGTTATATAGGCTTCACAGGTTTTTTACAGGTTTTCTTTTAAAGAGAATTATTGGGATGTTACAAAGTGGTATCTGGGAGCTTAGGTTAGATTTAATTACCACTAAAGCCAATTAGTATGTCTTAGGCGCCTAACTAATTGACTAAGGATTTTGTATTTAAAAGTCAAAAATGATTTTAAATTTAATTGTGTTCGAACCAATTGTTTTAAATGTTTATAAAGTAATTTTGAAGGACGTTTTTCCAAAGTGAGCCAATTTTGGCAAATATTAACCAAAATGGTTGCGTGGCAAAAGTATTTACCAAACTAAGCTTCTAGGCTAAAACGCTGTCTCGGTCAGCGTTTTATGCCTGGGTTTTTTTTTTAAAAAAATCAACTTAAAAACGCTGTCTGGGACAGCGTCTTTGTTGTTGACCTTTTTTTTTAAAATTTTTGTAATTTCCTTTTATTTATAAAAATGTTTTTAAAAAACAAAAACAGTTATACCAAAGACGCTGTCCCAGACAGCGCTTTATGTACAAACTTCCTTGTACCTAAAACGCTGTCTCAGACAGCGTCTTATTTTCAACCTAAAACGCTGTCTGGGACAGCGTTTCTCTGCTGGTGTGCAAAACAGCAGCAGAATCAGCCTTTTGCCACTGATCTGCCACTTTCTTCTGCCCCCACCACCACCCCCTGCCATGATTCTTGCCACCACAATCCACCAACAACCCCCACCATCGACCACCATCTGCCACCACTTTTGACCTCCAACAACACTTCAACCAGCTCCACCACCAACCCCAACCATTCAACAACCGTCGATAACCACCCACCACAACCAACAACACTAAAACCACCATGAACAACCACATTAACCACCACGGGCCATCCTTTCTTCCCCATTTTCGACTATGGATTTCAAATGTCTGTTGTTTAATGTACATTAGCCCTGAAGGATCTATTTTGACTGACATAAATCCGATTTGGATAAATAAGCAAACAAAACTTCAAAACACAAACAGATTCATTCAACCAGCATGTCTTATATTGATAATGCAATCGTTATATACAACATTCCAGGAAAAAGGACAAAACAATGATACAATATGTTCACTACTCATCAATTTGGTGTAACCCTTCCCTAGCCTCACTGTCGTCCCTTCGTCTTGGACAACGCCGAGTATAATGGTGAATGGTGGTGAATGGGTTCCGGCGGGGGGGGGGGGGGGGGGGAGTAAGCTGGCTGGACGATGCGTCCTCTTGGGTTCTAAAGGGTGCAGAACTGTGGAAGATGTACTCCTCTGCCTCTGTGTGCGACGTAGGATCACCTCCACTGCTACTCTGGCCGGGGTCGAACCGCGAATGGATGGAGTGACCATCATCACCGTCCCGCTGTTGGATGAGATGACCGTGACCATGTCTGCGTAAGGAAGTCGCGGACATATCTCGCATCCGCTGGACCTGGGCTCTGGTGGGTCCGTCTATAAGGGCGAGGGACAGTGCATCATACATCGCCACCATATCCGCCGCCTGTAGTAATCATCGATCAGTCAAGTACATGATATTTAAAAAAGTTAAAAAATGAGGATGATAAGTATAGTAAAAGAAACTCACATATCCGCTAATGACGTCATGTGCCGGGTGGTAATGGGTGGACGGTGGTGTGTAGCTGGGGTTGATGAAACGGCGTGTGATAAGCCTGTACCACACCATGTACGGATCGTCATGATCCATAACGCCCTGCATGGGATAACCCTGAACGACATGACCCAACCGCTGCTCCCATAGCTGAAGATACTGCCAATGCTCCAGTGCCCAGTTTGTCTCCGTCTTTCCCCGACGGTCAATGTCGTGAAGGCGCACGACAGTGTCACAGTTCTGGGGAATAGGCTGCTGCAGTCCGAACTGTCGCATGACGCGGTCAGGTAGGTGACTCTCCACAACCTCGAAACAGATCAGGGGGACCCGGGCACGCCACTCTCCCTGATGCTCCAGTAGATGTGCAGGCATGACATCTATCAACTCCGGTACATACGGATCCCATGTGATCTGCAATAACACATCTTAAACAAGTTAGTCCACAATCAGTATACACAGTACCTAAATGATTACAAATGTCTTCAGAGTTTGTACCTGATCCTTAGTGAGTCGATCAAGGGCGTCTCGGTAGTATGGGAGACCCGTCGCCGCATGTGCCTGTGTGAGTCTGGGGACCATCCACCTGGGGCAACAAATTTGGTAAGTATGTTTACAAAATGAAATCGTATATGGGAAAAGAAATGACAATTGTTACAAACCTGCAACCGTAAGCCTCATCAGCTGCAGGGCGAGGCGGAGCGATGTACGGCTTATACTGGTCATCCTGGTCCCGCTGCCCCGGACGATGTACAGCAGGCCTACCTGGTCTTCCTACGTGGATGTGCTCCCAAGCCCATAGCTTCAATAGAAAAACACAAAACTATGTTAAATATGACATTACTCATTGCATAATTCGCTTGTGATAATATACATAGTATACCTGAAGCACAAACAGAGGTCCTCCAATCTCGAGCGCACCACTCCGTGAGGCTCTGCAAAGTTGGCGATACAACACCGCCAAAGAGGCACTACCCCAGCTGTATCCACGGATATGCTCCCAGTCGTGGTCTAACAGTTGTAGGTAAATAAGCTGCAAGTGGCTCCCGCTCTTGTTGCCGAACAACACGCCGGATATGAGGAAGAACAAGTACGCTCGAGCGTATCTCTGTACTGTGGCGTCATCGGCGTCCGCAGGCAAGCCCTGGAAAGTATCTCGTAACCAGACCGTCCTCAAGGCGGAGCCCCTAACATCGTTGGGACCCGGCTGCACCCCGAGAACCCGCACAACCAATCTAACGGGATCGACTAGAAATGATCCCGTCACCGCAGTCCCCTGTACTGGAAGGCGCGTCAGTATTGCCACGTCCCGCAATGTCACAATCGCCTCCCCAACTGGTAGGTGGAAGGAGTGCGTCTCCTGCCTCCATCTCTCCACTAACGCCGTGACAAGGTGTCGATCGATCTCCCTGAATCCCAAGCGATGTACACCGCCAAAGCCAGCGTACGTCACGTACTCAAGGCAGCGATCATGCACAACCCAGGGGGTCCGTAGTGCCTGCACTGTAGTGGCTTCGCTACGTCACCCTGAAAACACAGGGGCATTTATAAGTAACAAAAGATAGTACATCAAAGAATCCAAAAACGTTAAAGATGAATTATTACCGTCAGGTTCCATACGTCGACGCTCCGATGGGTGTCCTGTAGTGTCAGGACAGAAGGGTCAACAGGTCCGGGTGTCCTATCCCGTACGTCCATGATATCTGTTCATTGAAAACGTTACACACCAAACACTAACACAATATATTGAATACTAATTTCGATTGAAAGGCATAAACAGGAAATCTCGAACATCCAACGTACAAAATAAAATTCATCGAATTGAACACAATAACACATAATGTAGAAAATTATAACTGTTTCATCAAAATAATACCACTACATACTACTATATCAAATAACACATATACACTTAGGTCCTATGTTGGTCTAGATGGACAAGTAGTGCGGTTGTGACCTTGCTGGTGACAACGGCTGCATTTGGTTGGGGGCCGGTTGCTGTCATCCATCTCATTGCGTATGCGCTTCGACTCTGGACGACCTTTTCCACGTATCATTGTGCCGTCCGGAATGAGTTTAGGGCCTACGTACTGTGCCCACTGTGCCCAGGTTGTCTCGCAGGGGATCGGCCAGAACTGTGGTGCATAGGTGTTCATGTAGGCGGCCGACTGCAACAGAGGGTCCACCCAAGGCCGTTCTGATAGTGAGTATGTAGCACAGACTGCTAGCACATGAGAACATGGGAGGTGGAATATCTTCGGTTTGTTGCACGTACACGTTCTCAACTGCCAGTTCACCGTATGCTTGTGGCCTCCTTTATTACCAACTCTCTCTCCCCTCTCTGTTGTCACTTGGTAAATATGCAATCGCCGGTTATAGGCATCCACTCTATGATATCTGGCTTTAGCGGTGTTCTTCTCGAGGATGGTAGTGACCTTTGGGGGGTATGGAAGTCCCTGATCAGACCTAGCCTCAGAAGACTCCCTTCTCAAAGTGAAATACTTGTTAACTCTGTGGAAGGTTAACTCGACAAGGGACATAATCGGTAGAAACCGAGCTCCTTTCAGCACATTGTTGAATGTCTCCGAGAAGTTAGTAGTACATATACCATACCTGCGACCACTGTCGTGAAACAGAGACCACATAGGGAACGGATGTTGAGCAATGTACTCAATGGCCTTGGGACAGGCCTCACCAATGAAACACAGATCAGCTTGAAGTTTTCTTTCTAGCCTTTGGTACGCAGCGGCCTTGAACATGTCTCTCATGTCGTTACTTCGCACGTGAGTCTTCAAGTTAGAGGCTATGTGGCGGACACAAAACCTGTGATACGCTCGGGGCTGGGTGAATCCAACATTAGGATCATTCATTGCTACAATGATCCCAGGATGCCGATCAGAAATAACACAAAGGCCATCCCGTTGCGTGACACGATCTCGAATACAACCTAGGAACCAAGACCAGGTGGAAGTGTTTTCCCCTTCAACCACCGCAAATGCAATAGGAAATACTTGGAAGCTTGCATCAACACTCGTAGCAACCAACAGTGTTCCTTTATACTTCCCGTACAAGTGCGTCCCATCGATACAGATAACAGGCATACAATGTTTAAAGCCATCGATACAAGGACCGAAGACCCAAAACACTCGTTCAAACACTTCCATGTTGCTGTAGTATGCACCATCCACTAAAGCTTTGTGTTTCCATACGACACATGTTCCCGGGTTCGACCGTAGGAGTGCTTGCATGAAGTGGGGAAGTCTGCCATATGAACTCTCCCAATCCCCAAATATCTCAGCTATAGCTTTCTCCTTGGCATACCACGCTCGTCGATACAGGACATCGAAATGAAATTGCTTCGAGATCAGTTCCTGTATGAATTCCACTTTCAACGAAGGATCTTTCCGCACAAAGGACTTCACATACTCGGCTATTACGGACGAATCCAAGTGTGGGTGATCATTAGATAGTACTTCACTGATACATGTCTCCCGATGCGGGCCTTTGTACGTGACTATGGTAAAACCACGTGAGTGCTCACTCGATTTGGTACCCCATAGCATCCAACCACATTTCTTCTTGCATCGCAGATGTAGGACACCATCATTCGAGGTCACTGTGGTGTAGAATTGATTCCTTTGAATAGAATACATCTTCACCATTTCTTGAAGCAGTTTCTTGCTCTCAAAATACATTCCCTTCTCAAATTCTCCCCCGGGAACAAAAGAGGTGTGGCTACCCGATTCGGCCCAATACTGATCAACTTCATAGTTCTCGGGTACCTCACTGAACCAAGGTATGGGAGTTCTAACCAACGGCTGACCATCTTCCACCTGTGTAGGTTCATCATCCCCCTCTCCGTTCTCGTCCTCATCATCCATTTCCGCATACACATCATACACCGACAATTCATTATTCACAACATCATCAAAATGATTTGGCTCTTCCCGAAACGGTGAACCATCATCACCTTGCATAGGAGAGTAGCTATGCAATTGCATCGGCGAAGATGCCACGGTGTTCGATGACGACGGAGCAGGCTGGCCGAACACTGTCACGCGTCCCCCCGCATGTACTGGTGAAGCTATATGAGAACTAAAAGGCAAGTGAAATTGGTCGTCCTGCATCATTCGAGTGAAAGAACCCATCCCATATGAATTCGATGGAATGTGGTTTGCGGGCTCTTGGAAGGACGCGATGTTGTAATCAGAGACATATGTAGCTTGCTGTTCTGCCCGAGTACTTTGTTGGGTACATATAGGCACTGTTTCTACATATATCTCATTGGGAAAACCCTTCATCCCTACCATGCTCCTCAAACCTTTCAAATGTCTGTTCGTAGAGATAGGTAACACTTGCACCCCATGACCAGTATCACACCTCATTTTAAGGTTCAGTTCAACAGTCATAGGGTTTGAACCAATACAACTGTGACCCTCATTCATCAGATCAGTCACAGTCATGTTCGGTTCAAGTGTTATAAGGTCCATATTCCCTCCACTGTACTCCACATTTGATCCATTACACAAAATTTCACCTCCCCATCGACATAACAACGCTACATTTTGTCCAGCCATATTCTACATAACAACCAAAACACATTTTACGTAAAGCCGTTAAATCATCCCTAAATCACCACAATCAAACAAAAAAATTTTACATACTCTACAAATTAACTACTAAGAACCCCTAAATCACCATTATTACACAACAATGTAGGTAATTACAATTGTTCAAAACCTAATAATTATCAACCATTGTCAACAATTTTCAACAAAACCAACAACAACAATTCAACATTATCCAAACTATTATCAACACTAACAATATCAACACTACCATTATCAACACTAACAATTCAACAATTACCAACACTAATAATTCAACAATACCAACACTAACAATTCAACATTTTTAACACTAACAACTCAACCTCATCAACATTTTAACCCAATTCCAAAAAAATTAGAAATCACCAACATAAACCCTAGAATTTTAAACACAAAGAAAGTTGAATGAATACCTATTTCAGGGTGAGGGGAGTGTATAGTGGGCTACACGGAGGGCGACGGTGGAGGTGACGGCGGGCGACGGTGGAGGTGGCGGCGCCGGCGGCGGTCTACACGGAGGAGCACAAGTATGAGAGAGAGGGGGATTAAGTTAGAGTTTGGGAAAGAAGGGGTTTGAGAATGAAGGAGGAGGAAGTGAAATGAAATACGCTGTAGGAGGGAAAAAAAAAATGACAGAAACGCTGTCTCAGACAGCGTTTCATTAATAACCTTAAACGCTGTCTGAGACAGCGTTTATAGTTCCAGAGTTAAACGCTGTCTGGGACAGCGTCTTTGGTATAACTGTTTTTGTTTTTTAAAAACATTT